GCCGCGGGGCGGGAATGGGGGGGCGCGGGGTCGTCCCCCACCCCCCACCCCCGGCTGGACAGTGGGGAGGAGGACGTGCAGGACTCGACTTTGTGCTGGGCTCTCGCACCTGCTGTGGAGGCCTCCCCATCCCCCTCACCCCCGGCCGGGCCCCCACCTAGGTGGGCCTCACCCGGTCCTCGGGCAGCTGCACCCCCCCCCCCCATCGCAGGTGCATGTGCAGCCGTGGCTCCCGGGTCGCAGTCGCCGTGTGTCTGCCCTTTCCCAGCGCGGGGACCAGGCCTTGTGCTGTCTTCCCGGGTCCTCCAGCCCTTCCAGCCGCCTCGGGCCGCTCCAAGCCCGCTGACTTGTATCCTGGTGAAGCCCAAAGCTCCCCAGTGGCCCCCACTTCCATCTCTGCCAGGGAGATCGTAACCACGGGATGCCGGGGCTGGTGGGAGCCCGGGACGTGCCTTTTGCGGGGGGGGGGGTGCGCTTGGGAGAGCAGGACTTGCTGGTTTTGAGCTCCTTGCCGTGGTCATGCACAACTAGGAGACTGCGGAGCCCCAGAAGGCGGTACCGGCTGGGGACAAGGGGATACTCCTTCCCAGGGGCCGGCATTAGGTGTGTTCATTCCAGTGCCTTTTGCTCTGGGATTGTTGGTTGAGTCATCTCAGTCAATCATTCTGATGTGATCTTCAGAGTGATGTATTTAAAAGAAACAAAGCAAGATAGCCTTAACATACACTAAAAAAATACCCCCCCCCCCATGGACCCACTGAGTACTTCCTGGCTGGTTAAGCCACTAGAACCCCCTTCTTAGTGACATGAGAATTGAGAGGTGAGGTAGAATCCTCCTTTGCCAGTGTTGCTTGCTGTGAAGAAAGGCCTGAGAAGCTGGGTGCTGGTGAGTCACACCTATCATCCTGGCTACTGAGGAGCCTGAAATCTGAAAATCATAGTTTGAAGCCAGCCTGGATAAGAAAGTCTGTAAGACTCATATCTCCAGTTAACCACCCAAAAGCTGGAAGTGGAGCTCAGTGTTAGCTTTGAACAACAACAACCAAAAAAAAAAAAAAACCTCAGGGACAGGGGCTGGGAAGGTGGCTCAGTGGTAGAGCGCTTGCCTTGCATGCCTGAGGCCCTGGGTTCCATTCCTCAGCACCACATAAGCAAAAAGAAAGCCAGAAGTGGGGCTGTGGTTCAAGTGGTAGAGTGCTAGCCTTGAGCTGAAGAGCTGAGGGACAGCACCCAGGTCCAGAGTTCAGGCCCCACGACTGGACCCAAACAAACAAACAAAAACTCAGGGACAGAGCTCAGCCCCAGGACTGGCACAAAAGAAGGAGGAGAAGAAGGAGACTTTATTGAAGGCAGCAGGCAGCATGCTATTATTTTTATTTATTTTTATTTTTTTGGTGCCTGTCTGGGGCTTGAGCTTAGGGCCTGGACAGTCCCTGAGCTTTTGTATTCAAGGCTAGCACTCCTTGAGCCACAGCTCCACTTCTGGCCTTTTTGGTGGTTCATTGGAGATATAAGTCTCATGGACTTTCCTTTCTCAGGCTGGCTTTGAACTTCAGTCTTCAGATCTCAGCCTCCTGAGTAGCTAGGATTACAAGCCTGAGCCACCAGTGCCCTGCTAAGTAGCATGCTTTGAAAAGGAAAATGAGATTTGCTTCCATAGGGACTAGTTGTTAGCCATAATCTCACAAGACCAGTATTAAAAGCTCTGTGGGAAAGGACCTGGCTGCTGGACCGTGGGTTTTGAGAAGCAAACACACTTCTTTCTGATTCTAGTATGCAGGTGGAATTTTCTGAATAGTGACTCAGGAATGCTTTTAGAGATAAGTAACCTGACAATTGAGTGGAAATATAAAGTTGTGAGTATATTTTTAAAGAAGTAATCTTGAGAGTGAAAGCAACTCCATCTTTATATGAAGCCTAAATAACACCACATAGAACTTTCCAGGGATCCAGACATTTCCATCTATAAGGAACAAACTCCTCTGGCACATGGCTACTCATGCCAATGTTCCTCAGTTTGTCTATTTGATGGACCTTAGGATTGGGTAATGTGTTTCCTGTGACTCAAAAATAAGGTAGGCCTGAGCACCTGTAATCCTAGCTACTCAGGAAGCTGAGATCTGAGCTGATCAAGGTTCTAAGCCAGTCAGGACAGGAAAGTCCATGAGATTCTTAACTCCAATTAACCACCAAAAAGCCAGAAGTAGAGATGTCTGTGGCTCAAATGGGAGAGCACCAGCCTTGAGCAAAAAATCTAAGAGACAATACCTGAGTTCAAGCCCCAGAACTGGCATATGCATATGCGCGTGCGCACACACACAGACACACACACAGAGGTAGACCTGGAAAGTAGTAGCTCATAGAACTGGTATATACATATGTGTGCACGCATACACGCACGCATGCACACACGCACACATACACAGAGGTAGACCTGGAAACTAGTAGCTCATACTTGTTACTACTCAGAAGGCTGAGATCTGCAGATTGAGGTTCAAAGCTAGCTTGAGCAGAAAAACTGTGAGACTGCAATTAAGCAGAACAGTCAAAAGTGGAGGTATAGTTCAAATGGTAGAGCACCAGCCTTGAGCAATAAGACCAAGGGACAGCTTCCAGGCCCTGAGATCAAGTTCTAGTGTAGCACATGTACGTGTGCGTGCACGTACACAAGGTAGGCATGGTCCTTTATGCCTGTAATCCTAGCTACTTAGGAGGCAAAAGCAGGAGATCAGGAATTTGAAGCCAGCTGGGGAAAGCTTATTGAGAGCTTATCTCAGTGACAAAATACAATAAAGGGGTAGTAGAGCACTTGGCTAGCAAGTACAATGCCCTGGGTTTTGATTCCCCAGTACTGGAAATAAATAAATAGTAAATAAATAAATGCAACAAAAAACCCCTCAACATATGTACCCTTGATATGAGGAGGACACCTCCCCTTGCAGTACCTTCCCAAATCCCAGAAACCTAGTGTAATCCTGAGAAAAACATAACAAGCCATACAAGCCTGAACTGAAGAACAACTTAACATAATTTCCTACTAGTTCTCTACTAGCTGAAACTATTGTAGCTAGGTGGGACTTTAAGATACATGTCACTAAAGGAAAGACATGAAGGGAAAAGGAAGGCAATCTAAACTCGGGCTTTTGGTAGGAAATATAAATAAACCAATTATTTTATTAGCGCTCAGTCATACAAAGAAGTTTCAGTTCAACAATATCTATGGGCACATCTTGATCAGTGTCACCCCTTCAATAGTTCTTTTCCATCTTGCAAGTTACCTAGTTCTGTTTTCACATATACACACTGACTTATTTTTGTTGG